TAACCCGACATCGCTTGGTCATCTGCGATGTAAGATCTGATGATGGCATGAGCAATTGCAATAGCATGTCTTTTGCTGTTGTTGGGACAGTTCTTGCAAGTGCATGCGCCGATGAATAATTGAGGATGACTTTTTTGTTCATCAACCAAGTTTGGTGTGTAATTTATGAATTTTAAAATTCAGCTCGTGTTCACTTGATTAAACGATACATATCATCGTTATGAGTTACTATGGGATCTGCTGGCATTTTTAACTGTTGTTGTGTTGAGCCGGCCAGTTGCCTCAAGACCGAGTAGGAAACCTGTGTGGGAGACATTGTACAATATTATGAACGTTTTGTGTAAAATTTTATCAATCAAAGCTGATGTAGTTGATTGTTGCAAACCTTTGGCACAAATCATTGTTTTTATCATTTAACGAGATTCATATAATCTGATATTAATTTGTGGGTGTATCGGCACATTTGTGTTTCTTTTATACATGGTCTCCTTGTGCTATTCAGAACTTGTCGTTTCACTTCCCGTGATGATCAAATTAGGTTGTTGGCGCCGTTGCAAGTGACTCTCACTTCCGCATCCGCAATATAGGTTGAACGGTAGCTGATACTACATATTCTAGTACACTTTATGATCAAATAAGAAAGACCATGATTTTTGGTGTTCATGGCACGATTATGCCAGATAGATATCTCTATGCTGATAAGCTTGTGAGAAAAAGGGAAATACTCACTTAAGCTAGCTTGCATATTTTGTTCTGATTCTTTTCATATATGATCTTCAGTTGATTCATGCTTTAACTTGACATCGCTCGTTCATCTGCAACGTAAGATTTTATGATGCCATGAGAAATTGCAATAGCATGTCTAGTGATGTCGTTGCGATAGTTCTCGCAAGTGTACCAATCAGTAATTGAAGCACTGCCTTTTTTGTTGAGCAACCAAGTCTGATGTGTGATTGATGAATCTTTTAATTCAGTTTTGTGTGTTCGCTTAATGAAACAATACATATCATTTTTAACTACTGTTGTGTTGAGCCGGTTAGTTTTAATAAATTACTGTTAATGGTTGACATGTTGAGAAGTGCTGCTAGTGGGAGGAGCAACCAAATAGAGTTTAAGTGGGGAGGGATCAACCCCCCTAGTCGAATGATTCCATGTGGGGTGGGGAGGAGACAAGGGGTTTACCCAAACCTTGTAGGGATTGGATCCACTAGGCAGTGGCGGAGCTTAGTGAGAGCCAACCTCGGCCACCGCCCCCGCAGCCCAGAAGATTTTCTCTGATAGTCACTTAGCAGTTGGCCTTGTCTAAAAAAACACTTAGCAGTTGGCCCATATAAGCATTGAAATTGGCCCAAACCTTGTACTCCATCCCCCCAACCCACTGGGCCTCCAATATTTTGGCCCAAGCTCCGCAATTGCCATTAGGGGATTTGATCCCTGTAACCAAACATAGCCTTAAACGCTTGTGTTCTATGTATGAAAAAACACACACTATTGCTCTCATGTAGAAGACATGCCATCTAATGCCATGTCTATTTAGTGTAAGTGCCCAACTGTTCTCTGAATCTATGAACAACAAAAGTGAAGAACCTTCATGATAACGTCGAGGCTGTAAAGGTAAAGTTGAGTAAGGAAGATGTGATAGAAATCTCAGCTGTTGTCCCTGCTGGCGAGGTGGCTGGGTTGAGGGTCATGGGAATCCTGGAGCCTTATTCTTGGAGGATTGCGAACACTCTACCTAAAAAGTAGCCATTTTACATCATCACTTGCAAATCCAAGAGCATCTCAACTGGCGGCGCTAGCTGACGAAGCTTGCGATGTCAATAGCTCGAAACTGTACATGTATGTAGACATATATACACCTAAACCATAGCTTAGGGTTAGCTTGCTAAGCACATCAGCTTACCGCGTTATGCTGTATTTGTTTCAAGCTTTCTGGTTACATACATTCAAGGGGGGAAATGTGAAAGAAACAAGCTCGTCCATACTCAAGAATAGGGAAGCAATGCCATTGGTTTTCTGTGGGGAACTTTCTGATGTATCAATTGGTACACATGAAAAAAAAGAGTCGACTTCTAGTTAAACTCTTTTCTGCTGCACATTTTATTCCTGCGTCATATGAGGAGTGAAATTATGTTTGCTGGGTATCATTCATTGAAAGATGGTACTGCTGTAACAGTTCCACGCATGACTGAATGTCTGAATGAGTTTACTGATAGAGCCCACATACAAGTTCGTGTAGTTACACCAAAGTAGCTAGGATAGGTATATTCAACCTCACTAGTGCCACTTAAAAAAAGCATTTTACTGCATGTGCTACTTTAGGCTCCTCAGGTTTCTACTTTTTACCATGCACCCCATGTTGCCGCACAACTTGTGCTACCTCGTTACTTTTCATTCACTGTTCATCTGTTGCTACTTCGTTACTTTTCATTCACTGTTCATCTGTTGCAACTTTGTTACTTTTCATTTACTGTTCATCTGTTGATATATATCCCCAGGTTTCTAATTCATATCTGCCACGATATCTTTTACAGGTTAACCTGTGCTGATCTGCAACCACTGAACTTTACAGGCATGCAAGCAACGTAGAACGACAAATTGCAATGGACAAGTAGGGCTGCACCGGCGCCCATGGTGTCCCTTTCAGGAGGAACCTTGGGGGTAGCTGACTAATTGCTAATGGATCTCGAGGCTTGCAGTTGCTCATGCACACGGACTTCGAGCATCATCGGGGATCGTGCTCGGCGTCCGGGCCGGCGATGATGCACTGGGGATGTGTGCCCTCCTCCCACATGTGGGAGGGAGCCTCTGGATTCCTGGACCACCTCCCCAAATCCTGATGTTGCTGCTGAAATCCCTGGACCAAAACCTTGATGCAGTTGAAAGCAAGGCGTGCGCCATTCATGCAATAATCAACCAGTCCATGATTATTTAATGATTATTTGGTTGGCTGTGTTTATGCTGTTCTCTGATCAAACTATGAATCTGCAATGCAATGGCTCTGAAACATGGTATAGTACCACGTACATGCTGAGGAAAGCTGTTGTTTATGTAGTATCATATCATCATTGTTGCCAGGAGCTAACTCTTGGACTCTTCTGAGGTAGGTAGATGTACTTCATCCAGATTCTTTTTCTTTGCTGCAAGGCACATTCTATAAAGAATTCATTATATAATAAGACTACAGGCCAGTTCAGGTATGTTGATGACAAACTTTGATTGTATCCTGGCCAGACCAGCTTATCAGAATCAGCAGCAGAAAGCAAGTGTCAGGGAAGCAAAAGCCTTTTGTTAATGCTGCCTGGATTGCAAAAGCCAGGGAGGGGAATAAAGAAAGAATGGAAAGCAAAAGAGGAGAAAAGCCATGCAGTGATCTTTTGAGAGGGCAATTGGCATGTATACTGGGGTTTGCTCCTGCTAATTCCCATAGGGCTTTTCATGGAAAGCCTGGCTAGGTATATGCAGAGTCCCTTTGCGTGCATGCTTGCCGTGGGATATAATCCCTAGGTTTATTCCCAAGCAAGTCCAACTTTATATCCTTTATCCACCACAACTCACCGAGAATATTCCACCATTAGGCTTTTCATCTTTTGCATGCCTACTGCCACCTCTTTTGCCAAAAGCATTTGGTTGGGATCCATTCCAAACGTTGGCTGCAGGCTCTCTAGTTACTAGTATGTCAACCATACGTATGTAAATATAGCTAGTTGTAAAGGTCTAAACACCCGGTAAACATCCTATACCGATGTGTGAGATTAAAGA